AGGAAACATTTTTACAAAATTTTGATTTTAATGTTTTTGAATAACTTGATACTTATATTTTATGATTGTGTACTTTTTAAGTGAATTTTCTTACTAAAACAGTGCTCTCTTCGCATATTCTGTAATTCTAGTCTATTATTTGTACAGATTAGTTTATCTTTGAGGCCGATTTTCTCAAAACCTGGTTCTCATACACCTAAACTTTAAATGCTACTGTAACATCTCTGGATCTATTTATCCTAGTGAAGCCATTCAAAGACCAAATTAAAGCTTATAATGTGATCTACCAAAATATAATATGAACTCATTTTTTGATTTTCTAACGATGAGACTCATTTTGTAGTGAGACCTCACATATCATATCCATATATGGGCAAATCACTGTTAGTTGTTTAGGTAGTTTTATGTGTAAATATAGCTTCATGTGCTTGTCTGCTTATCAAAAAATGTGACAATTCTATGTACCTGCCTGCTCCTTTGACACAGCCAATTTATAACAATGACATAAGCATGATTACGTTTTCTCAGCTTTAAAACAAAACGCGAGACAAACAGCGTAGCTTTTAGCAATGCGCACAAAATGTATGAGGAAACAGCAAGCGTTATTTGAGAACTGGTGGAGTGATACACTTTTGTGGAAAGGCCTGCTTAAGGAAATTTTGCAACATTGCTTTAAATGCTAAGAAAAAACTCCTCTTATCTTTAGTATAAATTCATTACCTCAGCATATTTCCACTGCTACTTAAGAGGAACACAAAAAAAGAAGCAAATATAGGTTCAGGATTCATCCAAAAATTTGACAAAATAAATTATACCAAATTCAATATCATCACTCAAATGAAAGAACAGACGCACACACGTAAAGCAATCACGAGTCATTGTATAGCAACAAAGACGGTAAAGAAGCGATGAAGTGAGACACAAATTTACATGATTAAAAGAAGACACATAAACAGACAATTGTTACTATGAGGATGAATATAAGTAAATAGAATGATATGAACATGGTAATAAGCGAATATAACGGACATAAACAATAGTCAACACTCAATTATAAGGGGTTACAGGCAATTATATGAATAGTATTATTTTATCATTAATTGTTTAAAACAATTTGCAAATCCAATCAATGAGCAAATTTGTAGTTCTAAGTAACATACATATCAACTACAATTCCATTTTAATGACTAAACTTGTTTATCATTCCAAAAATAATTACAACAAAAATAAACATTTCATTAATTTTTTCTTTATATACTAGTGTTTTATAGATAGATATCTTTAAAGGACATCAAAAAAAAATAATTCCACAATAGTAAATATAGAAAAAAAAATAAATATATAAATTTAAAAAAAATACAGAGCCATTGAAATAGTTTGCGAAGAACAATTGTAAAAAAATAACAGCAAAAACTCACAGTGAGGGGCACAAGTTAAAAAAATTAATTGAGTTGATTCTATTGCGAAGAATACCAATATAAAAAGATTAAATAAATGTAACATAAACGATGTACATACCTTCTGCTAAATTTTGAGGATAATTTGCTGAAGAACGATACATTCCTGGCCCTGTCCATGGTGTTTGTATCGTGTGATGGCCCTGCCGGTGGCCCATTGTACATCTGCCTCTTGTCCAGCCCTTCCCTTCCGTGGAACGTCCTCCGATTTCGATGAGCACGTGGAAAGGGACCGCTGCCGGGTTGTGCATTGACGATCGGCGACGGATAGAATGGGTGCCTATTACCTGGAGCAGTACTGTAAAAAGCATTGAGGTGAAAATTTTTTAACAAATTCATTAAATATTACTTAGTATTTATTATGTGACATCATTTTCATCTTACTAGCACTGAAAAAAAAATTCTAGTGCAAAAAAGGATCTAATGGGATTTGGAGGTGATTCAATAGGTTTGGACGATTATGCCAACTGGGGCCCAAAATTATTGTTGGAAAAGTAAGCATCTTTACCTCCAAGCTACAGAGTTTCAAACCAAAGTAAGGCAAAGTTTGTGTTGCCTAAATCTAGTAAACCCAAAATCTTCAAAAATCTTGGGTCAGCTTTTTGGTTTTTTACAAAAATATATTTGTTGTATTTTCTATTTAGCGGTGGAGAGCACAAAATGCTTGTATGATACAAGAGAAGCACAATTTTCATGCCTCTAATTATTTGTAAAACTTAAATGTTAGCCTACTTTTCATAATTTTTACCTGCCAAAATACATGGAAGAGTTATTCATGAAACCTTTAATTAGGTCTACCGGTAGGCATACTAGACCAGCCCTCACTTCTAATTAGGCAACACAACAATAAAATTGTTATTTTTGGGGTTTTTTTTGGGGGGGGGGGGGGCACGGATAGAATGGGTGCCTATTACCTGGAGCAGTACTGTAAAAAGCATTGAGGTGAAAATTTTTTAACAAATTCATTAAATATTACTTAGTATTTATTATGTGACATCATTTTCATCTTACTAGCACTGAAAAAAAATTCTAGTGCAAAAAAGGATCTAATGGGATTTGGAGGTGATTCAATAGGTTTGGACGATTATGCCAACTGGGGCCCAAAATTATTGTTGGAAAAGTAAGCATCTTTACCCCCAAGCTACAGAGTTTCAAACCAAAGTAAGGCAAAGTTTGTGTTGCCTAAATCTAGTAAACCCAAAATCTTCAAAAATCTTGGGTCAGCTTTTTGGTTTTTTACAAAAATATATTTGTTGTATTTTCTATTTAGCGGTGGAGAGCACAAAACGCTTGTATGATATAAGAGAAGCACAATTTTCATGCCTCTAATTATTTGTAAAACTTAAATGTTAGCCAACTTTGCATAATTTTTACCTGCCAAAATACATGGAAGAGTTATTCATGAAACCTTTAATTAGGCCTACCGGTAGGCATACTAGACCAGCCCTCACTTCTAATTAGGCAACACAACAATAAAATTGTTATTTTTGTTTGGGGGGGGGGGGGGGGGGAGGGTAATGAGTGGACATTTACAGAACATAATTATTAGATGGTATGTACTAAAATATATTTTGTCAATAAACCACATTGTTCATCTCTACATAATTATATATTTCAATTGAGAATGATATAACTAGCTACTAAAACATGATTCAACATAAAATTTTCATTCCTAAGTACAAAACAACTAAAGCTTAAAATTAAATGTAATGTTAAGCTGTTACAATCCAATTAACCAATCAAGCAAGCAGTGATTAGTAAAACACAATAAATCAAATGTTAGAAAAGGAAGAGAAAAGCATTTAATAGCTAGATGGAGGAAACATGGAGGAAATATATTTCCTCCATGATTCAAATAACAGGAGAAAATACTAGTTCAAAGTACATGAAACAAATTAGCGAGTATTAACCTTTGTTATTAAGTTTCTTACAGTATTTAATTCAAGATAATGTGCTTAGGAAAAGGATTCTGTATGAATACCAAATCTTTGATAATTCTGGTAGTCCATTTTTAAAACATTTATATGGTAATACAAACAAAAATATTTTTTTTTTTAAATTATAAGAATAATATGGTATTCTATACTTATGCTTATTATAATCTTATTTTAACCTTTTCTAGATTTTCATTATTAATCTTTTTCCATCTTCCACAAACTTTTTTTATTCGTAAATTTACAATCATATTTCATTATTTCAATTAATTCAATAATATTATGGATTATATTTAAGCACTGCATATATCGACAAAGCTTACTCACAATGCCATAATTACTCTAATATAATTAGTAATTGCAATAATACGTCTAATTTATCTCTTTTTACATTCTGTCTTCATACATAGTTACTAGAATACAGGAACTATATATTATATAATATTATAACATATTATAATAAAGGTTCCCTCCAAATAAAGATCACTGTGGTCCCAAATCAACAAATTCTTTTATTTTTACTTTTATAATTAGAAACAAAAGCTGCTATATACCATGGAAGCCCCAGTGCCAAGGTTGTCTATATTTGGAGGGAGATCTGCATTTTTATAATTTATCTATTTTCTAAATTTGCTGGAGACATTTTTCTGCAATTTCATTTAAACGAGAATGTGTTATGCTTGCTTTTCATTTATAAAATATTTTAATAGTAATAGTTTCAAGAAATGAGAAAGGCTTGCACCATAGGCATACCAGAATACTGCCGTGAAGTACCTATGAAATAAGAAGGAATCTCATTGGCTTATATTCAACCGTGACTTAAGGGGACCATCCATTATTTTCATCATTTTCACAAGAGTACAAACTATACACTTTGGAGAAGAGAGGGGTGACATAAAAAAGATATTAATATGTTCATCAAAAAGTGACAAAAATCATTGTTTTATTGTGTATTCTTCCAGAAGAAGGGTAGGGGGTAACAAAAAGAGTAATTTGTGTACTTTAGTTGATGGAAAAAAATGATGGAAATAATGGACATGTCATACTGTGGAAATGAAAAGAATTCTTAATTTCAACTAAATATTTGATTGAAATGTTTTTCAGCGATAATTTCAAAAGGTAATAGAAAAGACAAAATTGTATTCTGAGTTATACCTGATTTACATGACAATATATGTTACACACATTCCATACTTTGGAAAATACAGCACACATGTCCCTATTACATTGTACATGTGTGAATGCGGATCCATGCAAGATTAGCATTTGTCCCAGTTGAAGCTCAGTCAACACTATAAAATTCTGTGTGTTAAAAAATTTGTGATATGTCTATATTTGGTTGTAATACGACATCATCATACCCATATATAGGCACATCACACAAATTTATCCACATAAAATTTAATAGTGTGAACTGAACTTCATGTAAGAAAATAATCAATGAGACCTGTAACACTCTCAAGATTATTTAGCCTGGGCCTGTGCACATACCAACAGAATGACGCATGTTTGGTATATACACTGTCTGCGTATCAATTTTGCACGGTTTTAACGGACTCCTGTGGAGATGATGATGATTTCAAGAAGTTCTTGTAACATTTAACGCATGAACAGTGTAACATTGCCTTGTGGAAATCAGGTACAAGAATGCTCTTCATTTTTTATATTAAATACTATATTTTGTGATAATAAAGTTCATAATTAAATTTCATCCAAAATGTAAAAATTCACAAAATATCTCATTTGAAAACTTCAAAACGGAAATAAAATGTGAATGTGAACATTTTTCATGTTTAAATTTCATGAAGACACATACAGACATACCACAGATACACCTGTAAACATACCCATAGACACATCCATAGAATACCAAGGAGACCACACACAATAGCATCATAAACACCAAAAATAGAATACTTATCACACCGACTTGCACGACTACGATTACTATATACGCTTACCTAGGCCTATCAAGAGGATCGTCGATAGGAGGAAAAGTGGTCTTGCCCGTAGGATGTCCGGAGGTGGACGCCGATTTCTGATGCCTATGACGTGTAGAGGAGGAGGAGGGTTTGGATGTTGGTGTACTTTGCTCTCTGGTTTTTTTTAATATGAAGTACGTAGATATAGAAAAAAAAAATCGCGAAGGAAAGAGTAAGAGTTAGTTAAGCTTTGCAAGCGACATGCAATAATAATTACGTGTGAATTAATTATATTTTTGTCAGTAGGTGAAACACTGTGAGCAGTATGAATTAGAAAAGTAGTGCTGGATCACACGTGAAAAAAATGTTAATTAGTAAATGATTAGTGTTTCAACATTATTATCATTATTAATTAGTCTAACATGCTTTCACGTCAGTTCATCTACTGACAAAATATACACATGTATACTTTGTCATTTGAATTACATTAACAAAATTATCTGGTTAATTAGTAATTATTAATCAACAAAGATAAGTGGTACGTATCACAAAATATCGGTGGATATCATGAAATTTATTGGTGAAGGGTAAAGATATGTTTCATGGCATTCAGTGATTTCTACGGTGCCAGCTGCATCAAAAGTTGATGCAAACCTAACAAGTAAAGTTTAATGGACCTTTCCTCCAAGCCCCGCCCGTGGGATATTGTTGCTACGGTCTAAAAAAAAATAAAAAAAACGAGTGTAAAAACACATGTACACATACGCTTGTGGGACAACCTGGGCGTTTGTAAGACACGTGCCTATTCCTGGCCCCGTTCTCATTAGTTGGTCATTAAGTCAGATTGACATTCCGAAAAAGGTCCATTACAAATGATTGTGCAGATATAAGGCATGAAGCTTTATACGCTTGTAAATGATTATGGAAGGTATAGAAAGCATGTATCAGAGTTGGCAAGCATCCAGGGACTTGGTGTCAATGCAATGTGAAAGTGCAATGGTTTATTGGTCTAATACCAGTATAATGAATTTTACATTTTATTGCATTTCCTGTACAAGGCTACAGATCTAGCCATTATTATATAAGTTGTAAACATTTTACAACAAATAATTGTACTTATCATGCTGGGATTTACCGAGGACATCATGATAAGTTCATGAGCTATTTCTATTTAAAATAATTACCATTTAATAGCTTAAAAAGCATAGGATGTTGAGAACTATAATTCTAGAGGCAATTTTGGGTATTGTAATTGCATAGAAGGATAGAGATCTAGGCTCTATCCATACTATAAAATCTTATGTGACACATTTGACACAACTGCTCATACAGTATATGGGCATGATGATGTCATATCACATCCATACATAGGCATGATGTCATATCACATCCATACATGGGCATGATGTCATATCACATCCATACATGGGCATGATGTCATATCACATTCATATATGGGCATGTCATATCACATCCATACATGGGCATGATGTCATATCACATTCATACATGGGCATGATGATGTCATATCACATCCATACATGGGCATGATGATGTCATATCACATCCATACATGGGCATGATGTCATCATATCACATTCATACATGAGCATGATGATGTCATCATATCACATTCATACATGAGCATGATGTCATATCATATCACCATATGAGTACACTACATGTATTGTTCACATAAAATTTGATAGTTTAGATGGAGCTTTCAAATCGAAATCTTTTGAGTGAACGTACCACTTGTGTGTGTACATACAATAACCAATATTTTTTTCCAATAAAAATAATACGAGAGGTTAGCTAATAATAGACCATGTTAATATCTACATTCACACCAATCGATTAGAGAGTTGCCATTAAAAGTATTGGGAATTCAGAATATGGGAGGGACCTAATCTTTCAAAATATCCCATCTGATTGGTTCTTGAGCTACAGAGATAATTTTGTTTTTTTAATCTCATTTTTGTCATTATTCCAAAATAACTTGGGAATTAGAATGAGAAATGTTGGCTAGGTCCCAAGAACATACTTGTGTCACACAATTGTAAACAACATTGCATATGTGTAATATATGAATTTTTAAGGGATCCCACTGCTTGCGAATATGTTACAAAATATATGCCTTCTCGAGGATAAGTTCAAGACGTCCCCACAGAATTAATTCCCAACCTCCTCTGCTATGGCTGGTTAGTAAATTTACAGAACTAGTGAAAAAGGATCAATTAATATATAAAACAGGAAATACAATAGAAACAAAAACAAACGACTATGTGAAGTGTCCTTCAGAAAAAAAAACAAACAATATCTTGTGAATAAGTAACAGTCTCTGCTGCTGTGACAAAGACGATTATATCAATCATAATATGTGGCTTAACTTATTATGTGACATGCCCAAATATAGTAATGATGACATCACATCATGACCATATACAGGCACATCATGAATATATTATGGCCATACATCAGTTATTTGTCAAAGACAATTTGCTAGTCTGGACAGAGCGTTATGTTGGCATGCAACAGCGATGTGTGACCCCCCCCCCCCCACCGTTAGGGTAGCCCATAAATGGAAACACATTTATTATTTTTATTGTGTTATTAAACACAAGACATTCCTTCAGTTCGTGAGTCTTAAGAGTTGCCAATTACTCAATTCAGCACAATTACACTGCGAGTTATATGGGTTATTCTCCTACCTTTACCTTTACCAATAAATGTACTGGCAAATGCCAATAACATTAAAAACATATTTGCCTCTGCATTACTAAATTTACTATAATTTATTTTGGAAAAACGTACTTAAATATGTAATAAAACTTTTTAATATAATTTTCACATTTTATAATTTTGATTGTTTATTAATGTGTTATTACAAACAATTAAGGTGTATGCATCAATTTCTAAATGGCTGAAAGACGACACTGTTACAATATCAATCTTTGTCACAGCAACATAAGGAAATTAAAAACACAAAATTTGAAATGAATGACAATAGGAATAAAACAATGAAACAGAAACAACTCATTCAATTAGTCAACATAAACAAAATAAAAATAAAGTTAGGGAAAAAATGTTTATGTGAAGCAATAACATCCTCTTTTAAACGCTATTCACAGTATTAAATTTTATGTGACAAATTTGTGTGAAACCGAAAGGTCCACCGATTACTCAGATAAGAAATTATAATACTTACTCCAAGTATCAAAATGCACGCCATCATGTGGGATTCAATATTTCGACATTAATTATGTAATCATCAGGAATGATTTGTGTGATGTGCCTATATACTGTATGGGCATGATGGTGTCATATTATATCTAAATATGGGCATATCAAATTTATTTGTCACGTAGAATTTAATAGTGTGAACACAGCTCTATTTACCCCCAAAATATAGGATGTACGAGTTTAGATGAGCCTTGGAAGATTTGACATTAAAACTACGATAAAAACATTTAGCCAAGAACAGACTAATATATGAAGGATGATCAATCCACCAATTGGATGTTTGAACAGACTCAGTGTATTTTTTGCCCTACATACCTATCAGCTTTTCCATTGGTTGTTCTTGAAGGAGACGCATGACCCTTATCCCCCACAACATATGTGTTTCTCCTAATCATTCCTGCCGTTATGTTATTCTGTAAGTATATAAAAACAAGTATAAACAAAAAGTAAGTAAAATAATATAAAAAGTATCTAGATGACTAATAACAAGCCGCATCGATCATCAGTGTGCAGTCAAAAAACTTCAGTAAAGATCCTGACTATAACTCCCAACACCCTGAGCATAACCCTCGACAACATCTCCACCTTGACAGTCAACCACTGTATTAGTTTCATTGTACCTGTTGTTGCCTAGATTTCCTTGCTTCTGAATTGTTTGGGTTAACTGCCTGGCCTATACCCGTTGAAGAATGTGATGCCTTTGCTCCCGACGAGACTGGTATTGACCGTATAGGTTTCCTAGAACCACTGCCGTCTATCGTTGACGCACTGGATCGACTTGTTCTATCGTGTAAACCGTTATCTATAGGATGCCTTTTATAGCCTGCCGAGGAAGTTCCAATATGCTGACCTATTTCCAAAAGAGAAAAAAAAAAAATCCTTAAAACTCATCTTCACATAGTTTACATAGTTTAGCAAAAATGCATTCTGATCTTGCTAATGGAATATGTTAATGATAAATGTCAAAATCTCACCAACACAAAATCAAAGATTCACATTATGTATTTAAAAAAAACAAAAGAATTCAGTGCTACGCATTTATTTAAAAATGCAAAAAATGAGTAAAATTGAAACGGTTTAGTTGAAGAGTGATGGATGGCTTAGCCCACAGCAGGTAGATCATTTTCAAAATCTAATGAATGACGAATCTCCCTAATTAGCTTAATGGAGTTTCCCAAGTGTAGTAGCATGTGGCGCAGGGTGTAAGGTGTTTGGCTTTCATTCGTAAGGTCGGTGGTTTCAGACCGATGCTCGTCATACTGATTGTGTCCTTTGGCAAGACACTTTATCTGCATTTGCCTCTCTTTACCCAGAAGTACAAACAGTGAATGACGTGGAATGAAATTAGTAGCGCTGATTACACGCATATACACCCCAGAAAGCGGACAAGTGTGTGATTGATTCTATATCCAATGACCAAACGGAAAAAAAAAAAAATGCCTAGAACAATTCTTCCATAATTGGAAATGTGTGCTATATCAGTGGCGTCGCCAGGAGGGGTGCGGAGGGTGCGAACGCACCCCCCTCCAGACCCAAAAAAAATTTAAAAAATAAATAAAAATAAATAAAAAATTAAAAAATAAATTAAAAAAAATATAAAAAAAAAAAAAAAGAAGAAACAAATAAAAAAAAATTGGTGGGGGGAGGGGGGCTGGGGAACCATTCTTTGAGAAGAGTTCTTCCAGTAGGCAGTACGAGTAGACCGGTAGGCAGTACCTTAGTTTTGAACAGCTCATATCTGCAACACCAGCACCGCTGCCTGACATTGGAGTTGTTAAGTTTTTTTTCCCCCAAAAAGCACCCCCCCTTGAAAAAAGCTGGTGACGGCCATGCTATATAAGTCTTATAAAAAAAAAAAACAGAAAAACAGGGCTAGGAATATGTGTGTGTCTTATAAAGGCACATGTTGTCCTACAGCAAAAACATATTTACATACATTTACACTATTTTTTTTTAAGGACCTTATCAATAATATCTAAGGGGTAGGGCTTTGTGAAAGGTATATTTTAAATTCAACTACGGGGTCAACATATGTTTGTAAATTCCATACACCACTAAAAACAGTACTATGTTTTATGTGATGAACAGTGCAACCTGATTTAGCAACTCTTGACTTTCCTAAAGAAGATAGATTTTACACTTTAATATAATAACCCTAGCCTCTAGACATTGGATTTATAGACTGCTATAAGCTCATAAGTTCAATAACACAAATTCAAAAGCGAATTTTGGAAAGCGAAGCAGGTTAAGATACTTGTAAGGAACAAAATTAGGAATTAAAAAAATTTAGGATTGTTAGAACATACAGTAGATCTTCGGTATAAACTCACACCAGGTCTAAACACACCCAAATTTGTTTCATTGTGCCACAGTGCCTGTGCATAAGCCGAGGGCATGATTTAAATGAGATTCTCGAATGACTTTTATAAATACTATTAGAAAAAGGAAATTCCAATACTGACATTAAAGATATATATTTCTTAAAATTTGCCTATTAATTAGCTATCTGTACAAAGTTGAAAGAGTTCTTTTCCATAACGGAGATTCCCCAGGTATAAACCCACCCACAAATATCGGCCCAATCCTGTGTTAAAGAGGGTGGGTTAGTTCCTGAAGACTACGATAGCATGAAAGCAACTAAATGTATGCCAAATAAAAATGTTAGTTGAATGTGTCTAGGGCTATGTACAATAGCTTTATTACGGTAGGTTTATTAAGCTGTACAAAAAAAGGGAGAAAAAATGTTCACAATAAAAATGAATTGTAAGATAAAATACTCCTGGTCCATCTATTTGCACCTAGCAACATCGTCTTAAATTGGCAAACATTCTAAATCTCTGTCAACACTATCAAATTTTCTGTTGTATGCCCATATATAGTCATGATGTGCCTATATATGGATATGTTGTGATGTCATCATGACCATATTTAGGCATGTCACATGTATTTGTCAAACAAAATTTGATAGTCTGGACAGAGTTTTATGCAAACACACTAACGATTTCAACCCCAGCACCTAAAACTATAGAACTGGCACATCACAACCAAGTCACTCATATTTATGGAAATTTAAAGAAATAAAATCAATGGTCACTGCATGGCTAATATCTACTGCGAAAGTTTGACCAGTTATTTCAACGGTTGTTAAAAAAAAAACACAATTAAATTTGACAACAGAAACAGGGAAAGTGGGCAAAAAAAAATAAACGGTTAAAAACATATATGGGATGTTTGTAAGATTTTTTAACCGTTAAAAAAATAACTGGTTATTTGGCGTTATTCAGTAAATACACGGCCGTGGACATTGACAAATGGACGGACACGCCATTGAGTGAAGCCGAGAAATATACCTGTTCCGTGCATCGACATGCTAGAAAACTGCCACATAAAATCTCGTGGTGCCATGCACTCGGGTAGAACTTTTCATAAGAAAAAAAAATCATTATCATAATAAAGATAACAATTCCATGTGACAACAGAATCTGCTCAGATATTTGGCAATAAACGAAAGAAACAGAAAGTTGTTTTTTTTTTTCTTGTTTTTCAAACTAGCTGCATGACTAATAACAGATTAATAAAATGCATTTTGGTGTAAAACAAGAAATAATAGATAATAATAATACACAGTTTTGCATTTTCTTTGCTGTTTCTAATATTTAAGATCAAGCCAAGCAAAAGTATAGGAATCTCAAAATAAATAAATGGAATACTTAAAAATACAAGCCTAGTAATATTATTAAGTGAATGGGTGAAAGTAAATATGGGTATGGCAATGAAAACATATTTTTTAATCATAGAATATTAACATAACTTTGAAATCTCAAGAATTTTTAAGTAAAACAATCATAAATCATTCATTTTTTAATTTTTTTTTTAAACTGATAATTTACGAGATTCTTATAAATAAGAAATTCAAAGTTTTATTAAATTTATGTGGTAATTTGACTTGAATTTTTTGTATGATAATATCTCATAAATTAGAAATACTTACACTTACAAATTCATTATTATGACTTTCTCTGCAACCACCAATTTTCCCATTTAATATATTAATTATGACTGATATCATGTGACTGTGTTGTACAATGGCAAAGTATTTTACTGAGAGTTAGTATTTTTTGAAAGTTAGTTTTCCAGTGAAATCCTTAATTAATATACCAGATCCCTCTATTCTACATTGTAAGTGCCACCTTATTGAATAGCAACAATTTGAGCACTGAGAATTTATGGCTATCATTTATGCTTCTCCCAACAAAGCAATTTTTCAAAACTATATACGCAGTTTGACAGGTGAAGCGACGCGCTGTGAAAAAAAACAAAAAAAAACGGTTATGTGAACATGCACGCCCGTTTTTATCACTTCAACGACTCTGTTAGTCTAGAAAAGAAAAACACAATGAATTACCTCGTTTACGGACGCCTGTAGTTATCAGCATACAAGTATAAAAAAACAGGAAGAACAAGATAAACGAACATTAGGCACATTGATAAAGTAATGTCTTAGTACAAAAACACAAACCCGTGGGCATATCGAAAGTCCAACCTCACCACAAGGCAAGTAAATCCCAGAGCAACTAATAGGATAATAAATATTTATAATATTTAATTATTTATTATTGGATTAAAAATTTAATACAAGGGATAAGGACATAAGAAAGAAAATGATAGAAATGAGAGAGCAGAAGAAAAATGCAAAGGTAGAAAATGGAAATTGATTGAGCATTCTAGGTAAAGGGAGTCAATAATAAAAATTATAACATTTTTTTTATCCATTTATATTTACATTAATAATTTTTAATAAGATAAACGATACCATCATTAAAAAGGCAAATATATAATCAAATAATTTAAATGGTTTTCAAAAATATTATGATACTTCAACAATAAAATAGTATAATAAAAATATGTTTTAACAGTTTTATTTTTGAAGAATCACATGACAAATATATAAATACTATATAGAAATATATAGATATAACACATTTTATATATCCTTATATATATATATATGTGATAAGTGAATTTAAAAAGCGGTGGAAATAATAGTGATGAACAATGAAAAAATATAAATAAATGAAATTGTTAAAAGATGATATTGGTATTAATAGCAAGACTGGGTTTAGCCTGTCTGTGTATAATATTCTATGAATGTAATATTCCGAGGATAAACATTTTTTTTGGTTATGTTTTAATATTTTATGTTTTAAATGTATATTTCCAAGTTTATTTATTCCAATTGTTTAATTGATAGTTCTCTACCATGTTAAACATTTTTTTTGTGTTATGTTTTAATATTTTATGTTTTAAATGTATATTTCCAAGTTTATTTATTCCAATTGTTTAATTGATAGTTCTCTACCATGTTTCACAGGATTACTGTTTTCTCCTTTTTTGATGCTAACATCTAGATAGCAAGAACATTATTAGTTATTATAATAAATTTTTAAAGTCTATTGTTGATCAATATAACCCATGTAGTTGTTTTTTGGGTTTTTTTAAAATTAATTGTTGATGCATAGATATTTGTAGAGCAAATTCATGAACACTACCAGAACTAATCTAATCTCTATGAAGGTTTTCAAAAACTAAATATAACCCGCAAGTGGGAGCGCTTTGGCACAGCGTTCGTAGTTCATAACCATTGCAAATTTGTTGCTATGTTTGTCTCTCTCCAACCAGAAGGATTGATGGGTACCGGCATAATATGCTGGGAAGTTAAACCGACTTGAGTGTACATGACGAGAAGCGGACCTCCACAGGACTGCAACCTGGCTTAAATGCCAAAGAAACGGATGAATACGTCCCCATGCCACTGCGAGTTCAGAGCTTTGGTTTCAATTGCATTATTTTAACCAATCCAGGAATGCGCCCTTCTACAGCCTCATCCAACAGTGAGTAATGCTCAAATACACTAAAGCTTGATTCCCATTCCCCATTAGACTTTTTGTTGACTTTTTTTATCGTCAGATGATAAAATTACACAAGTTTGAACCATGGAAGTGTGCCCAAGGAAAGTTGATATTTCCATGTTTTCCCAAGCAATGCTTGTTAAGTTTAAACTTGAAATCAACTACATGTTCGTTACGTTCGAGAACTTCAACAGGCATTTATACATTTCGAAATAGTACTTAGCCAGGGTCCCCTTACCTCAAGCTGCAAACTTATTGAAAGTACAAGAGCGGTGCAATTTTAATTACCCTTCACCTTGCTTGGAACGATTCCAAAGCGAACATGGATTAAGTCTCAATAGGAGGTACTAGTATATAGACAGTTGACAAGAAATCCAGATAATTAGGATTAAACATGAATATTTATAAGTATGATGTGGTAATATCGATTAATGAACTTGATTGTGTGTGCAAAAATGCTAAACTAATATTTTCAAATCATTAATCAGGCTAAACAATGTTATGGCTTTATCTAATCTAGAATAATTAACTAAGCAAATATGGTATTTAGTAACTGTGTCTACATCAAATTAATCATTACTGAAAGGTTTTAATATCTAGCATGCAAATTTTTTCGCTTCTTGATTAGTTCTTAGTGAAAGCATTCATAATTTATGTGTACACATATAACATTCCCTTTACCGAACTAAAATTAACTCTCAAAGTTCAAGCGAAAGTACAACTCTAGAATTTCCCCACCCCCCATTATGATTGGAAGGAGAGAAGGGGAGGGGTGTAGGGAAAGAGATGTTGGTGAGGGATGTTCGGATGGGGATGTTATTTCTTAATTCTTATCAAAAAGCTCTCAACTTACAGGCTGGAGATAAATTATCAAATAAATATTTTATTACGTTATTCCGAGAATGAGAATTAGGCAGAAATTTTTGTCCTAACAAAAATTCTTTGTATTTAAAAATTAAAATGATTTCTGCTTATGACATACTGGAGATGAAATTGGGAATCTGAAAAGGCACTGATTAACAATACCTCATTAATAGTGGCCTCATCAATTATCATTAACAGTCCCATTGTTAACTATTCCTTGTTAATTTTTCACTAGTTCTTCAAAATTTCATTTGAAATGTATCATCCTTTTAAACATATTTACTTTTTAATAATATTCTATCAGAACTGTTAACAAGTAAAATTTAAAATATTTTTCAGGGGCATTTTTATGAATTTTTTTTGATGATTTTGTTACTGATTTAGAAAAATCAGTAGCACTGAAAGTATTAGAAATGAGATGCAAGAAGAGAATGAAGAAATGAATATAATGGCAAACGTGAGTGCAGAGAAATAAAGAAAAGAAATGAAAAGTGCAGAAATGAAGAATACCAATCTTCTATTAGAATGCTCTGAAAAAAACTATGCCTTGCTTTGCTCATGAATAGTGGAAAGGGATTAGTGAAATGCGGGAAATTGACTATGATGAAATCTCTAGAAATTTAATTTTCTTTTCAGTGATGATAACCATGTTATCCCATGAAGAAGAGATAAGTGAGAAATAGTCAAAGTTTCAGGAGAGATTGAAATTTGAATGGCTTTCAGGGAAGGATGAAGCCATGGAAATTAATGACGAGTAAAAGGATGAAGTAAATTTTGTACAAAAACAAATTAATTTTGTAGCTTCATATCTGACAAAGTGGTAACCCAGTAAAAATAACAGAGACTTAAATACTTATCCAGATTCATAGTCACACAGCCGAATATTGTAGATTTAAATGACGTTTCAAATTATAACTAATTTTTAAAATTCTTTTTCTAGGATTCACATCTGCATAGCCAAGTATAAGCAAATTTAATTAAGTTCAGTTTAGTAAACTATATTTTTGTTACTTAATTCTAAATGGGATAATTGTTAGTTTGTAATCTATAAAAACCAATAATTTTTTAGATATATTTAATTAGGAGTTAATTAGTATTCATATTAATTCTAATAAATAACTACTGATTCCTTTACCTGTTCACATAATTAAATTAAAATTTACATAATCAAGGAATAGACAAGGCACTGATTTATCCAAAACAATTTAAGAATTTCCTTAAAATGGTTATTAGCACTATAAACATATTACTATTATTTTGTTATCAATGTGTACATCTTTAAAATTTTATATTATTAAAAATGTTTAGAACAAATGACAGGGATATTATCGTTATCATCATTAAAAAAAACCTTCAAAATTAAAATAAAATGAATGTATTATAAGTTTATGTATTATATTAGTTATGATTTTTTAATTTATTTATTTTTCGGTTAATGTGAACAAGCAGGGTGGAATCAAAGGCGTGGCGATTAGTACTGTGTCTGAGCGATGGTGTTTTATAAGCTGAGGGGTTACAGCAGGCGAGCCTAGCAGGATGACGGTTACTGCGTTTCCACTGAGCGGTGAGATGATGGGCTTTGAATGCTGGCCACACGAGGGCGCACTAAAGCAAAATGGTAATGTATGGGAGACTGACCGAGATTTTCACCTCCATGACTAAAGCGCCTTTGTTTCTGATTGGATGAGGATGTTGAGACGCTTCGTTGTTTCTTACCATGTTGTACAGGTGATTGCTTAGCGCTGGAAGTGGATAAATCATTGGCAGCTCGAAGCGTAGTCAGTGACATGCTACTTCCTGGATTTGAATCGCCGCCCTCAAGCTGAAACGAACAATATTTAAAATTGTATTTGATCATTTAACAAAATGCATGCATAAAAACATCACCTTTTTTTTCAAGGAAGTTAATTTTAAATTTTACCTTGTTTTATTTATGACCAATAAATTACTTTTATTTTGACTTTTACGTTAAATATAACAATGGATTCATTTCCTGGTTTTGACAGATGGTTTTCATCTTTTCACATTTAGATCTAATGGCAAACAATGGTTGTTGAGATGCTTGCCTTTAAATCTAAAGGTCCTGCGTTCAAATCCTGAAAAAAATCCAGTATTTTTTTACCACTTTTAAAAAAATGACGCTTTCTATTGCTTAGGAATGCGAAGAAATGTAATTCATTACTGCTGCTTCTAAATCCAACAATTGGTGCCTATGATTAATTTTTGAATTAGCACATTCAAATTTCTGCCGTTATTATGTATTAAAAAAAATGTATAAGAAAAATGTTCTTGTACATACTATAATTCAATAATTTTCAAGAGTGTTTTTGGATGGGCATTTAACTTGGGTAAGCACTTATTTGTGTAAACACAGTTCACATTATAGGGAATAAACATACAGAGGATTATATGATCTTGAAAATCCCAGACAGTTATTAAATTCCACTAGGCTAAAGCAAAGTGTTGGGAAAAGTTTTGTTAGTTTTGTTTACTAGTCAATTAGTTAATTGAAATAGTCAGTGGGAGAAGGAAAGCTTTATCATTCAAACAAAAACAAAGCTTATTTGAGGAAAATTGCAAATTGTGTTTAAGGATAGGCATTTATTTAGGGAGGGATGCTCATTCAAATAAATATTTGAAGATACTGTCTACAAAAACCAACAAAAATTAGGGATAATACCATGACAACTATTTTTGTTATGAACACCCCCATAAAAAATACTAATGTTGGTCACTATAATTAGACATGCGCAACCACGTTTGTAAAGTTTTTAAACACAAATGTATTGTTATATTTTAAGAAATACAATAGTAATAAGTACCAACTAAGCCTACACCAGGTGTGGGCATAAAAATCGTTTGGAGGACCGAAGTGAATTTTTGATTTAAAACCGAGGGCCACGCCCACACTTTGATGTTTAAAGTGTGCTTCCAAAACCTTCATGCACTACTTTTAAACCACCTTGTTCTCAGTTTTAACATTACTTTTTATAGATCACTGGCGTCGGGCCATAAAAAACAAGGTGTTTTCTAGTCAAAAATGTTTGGCAGGCCGCACACATGGTTTTTAATTTATTTTCATGGGCCACAAAACAATCACTGTCAGGCTGCGTGCGGCCCACATTTTGCCCTCTTGTGGCATATACTATAAGATTCTTAAGAATATCTGGTTACAATGATAGCTCTTCTCAACTCATAATGGTTACAATTGGGTCTAGGCAATATGGACGGTCAATCATATTATGGTGAAAAATAAACTTAAAAAACTTCAGGTGAATTCAAGACAAATTACGAATAGGTTTATACCTAAGCATAGCATGTACATGTACTTCAAATATTTATTAAATTTCCAATCGGCATAATGTAAATATTGATACTAAAGTTTATAACTTGACCATCCACAATTATGTAATAAATTTTGGCAGTTGTTCTTCCGGTGACAAACCTCTTTCTGTCGCCTGCCGAGTAGTAAGTACGTAGCGAATGCAGCATCGTATTTCCGGTTTTTAAGCGATTCCTCGATCTCGTCTCGACTAAATGCCATTCGCACCATCATCTCTATCCTCCTTTTGTCGTTAAAGTCTATTTCCGGTTCTTTGAATGGTTTTAATTCATCTTCTTCAAAACCTAGATTGATCCATTTATCTCTCATTATTGTCTGTAAAAACAAGAGAAAATAATCATATTTTTTGTAGGTATAGTTAATATTAAGTAATCGCAGGTAATATACCACATCATAAATAGAGCATTACATTTTAAATATATTCATTTATTACACTCACATTAATTAATTTCTTGATATTTGTTAAAAAGTTGAAATTAGATATTAGATTGCATGATTTTCTTTTTTTTTTAAATATAAAAATAATATTCGAAATTATATCTGTATTTTAAATAATTTCAATTTTCATCTTTCGAAAGAAAAAATTTTGGAAAATGTCCAAAACATTTTAACTCTTCTCTAATATAATAAATCTTTCAATCTTTAAACATAAGATTATTATCAACATGAGAAACAACATACACAAGTTTTTGAGATGATCCCTAAGGTTTCCTAGGAATAATAGAGCAGCTATTAGATCGAGATATATGTGTTTGAGATGAGTTGCGTTGATTTAAAGTGAGATTTTCACGCAGTGGTACTTGTTGAATTATTTACTTTCTAATGCATTACTAGGATTAAAATGGGGGAAAAGCAATAATCTTTAGGTCCAGCAGACAATATTAAATTTTTAATATATATTTTATTGATACTAGTAACAAAGTATTTGTAGTAACAAAGATTTTTTTTTAAATAAAATACAAATATTTGTTCAATATTTCATAATTTATGTATTCAAATGTTATATACACCAATTACCAGCATCATTTGACTAACATTGCATCTCAAAATCCAATGGCATTAAAGAAATCTTGCATCTTGTACGAAAAAAATATCTATCAACTATGTTATTAATATCACTATTATTATTTAATTTAAGTGTATCGAATCAATAGCCTTCCTAAAATGAATAATGATCTGAACAACTCATTGATTTTGACAAAAATTGATTGACTGCGCAGTATCATGTTGGCTGGGGCGGGTTCGCACACCAATGTAGCAATAATCACAGACCTCTTTTCAATTAGCAATCTCAACCAGAAAACGCTGTAAGGATAATTCATGCCAAATTACGAATAATTTACACCCGTTCACAAAATGGCCCAGCCTTGAACCCCGAAAACCGGTTACCATCGAACATTACACGCACTTCAATTTCATTCAATTAATATTAATTCAATCATCCACGAATCAGCGTGGCTCACAGTCCCTGTGGTATATGCCATCACAACATTTGTTGGCTGCGTTTCCTGCTCAACGTTAACTTATCTCGACACAATAACCAGTCTGATAACACAGTAATGTGAGACCAGAGAGGTGGTGGCTACTAAGTTGTGGACAAACATATATAATGTCTGCATACATTGTGGTACAATGTTTCATAGAGACTAACGAGGAATGCCATCCCAAAAACCAACATAACTGTCATTAAATGTTAAACTGAGTAATATGCAATGTGGTAGTATTGTATACTTTAGTACAGAGAAGCTGTAATACCTTTACTCTTAACTTTGGCAATAGTAAATCAAATCCAATAAATGCCCAATCATTTTATAGCTTATAAAAGGTGAATACATTAAGAAGTTATTTTTCTTGTTTCGGTCGCTGATGCTAGTTGTAGCATGGTAAGCCCCACTATTTTAAAATAATCTGTTACACATCATGTGTTTAACTGCAGTGTTATTGAAACTAAAGAATAGGTGAGAAGGTATGAATAATGGTTTGAATTTTTTAATGCACAACTGCGATACTTACTTCTAAACTTGCCCGCTTCGCAGGATTCAACATCAAGAAACGTTTCAACAAATTTTCACAATCTGTTGACATATAAAATGGAATTCGATACTTCCCTCGTAAAACTCGCTCCCTTAATTCCTGAAATAAGAAAAAAGGTAAAGTTTTAAATTAAGGGATCACAGATTCTAATTAATTGCTATATTTTTACCTTATTAGTTCCTTAACGATAGCAGCGGAGTAGTATCACGTGGTATTGTGACGTAACACTATAGTACTCTATATGCATAGATGTAATGATTCGCTTCTTAGTATCTAGGGTACAAATGAAGGGTCCACACCCCATTAGCCCCTTCATGATTGGAGCCGAGGTATGAAATTTCATGGCTTTGAAAATAGCACTAATACACATTAACTTAAATGTAATTTTCTTTTTTCTCATTTTTTTTTTTTTTATGAACTGAAAGTTATCATATATGCATAAGATGTAATGATTCGCTTATTATTATTATCATGGGATAAAATAACATAGAATTCCCTTTAAGTTTGGCAAAAGAATAAATTAAGCGCCATGACAGACGGAAATGTATCCTTAAGACCAGTCACAGGTTGATATATGATTGTAAACGTAAACCCTTCAGGAGGTTGTAGTGGGATGGAGGTGATAACGGTGAATGATGAGAGGAGAAATAAAAAGGGGAAAAACAGTCAGATACTGCTATTATTAGTCAATAATGTTTCCTTCGGGCTTGCGAGGATCAAAGACTATGAAAAAAAATGTCAATATAAATTTGTGAATGTGACATCAATGTTCATCGAATCGTTTTGATCTTGACTGAATTTTGTTCAACATCCTGTGTGGGTTAAATCAAATAGCTTTTCATAACACAGTCGCATTTCCCAATATAAATCAATATATTTATTTACTTCTAGCAACAACAACAATATTAATAATAAAGAAATAGCTCTTTATGGAATGAGTCCATTGGAAGCACATTTATACCAAGGTAATTTTGGCTTTACCTTTACATTTCATATATACAAATTCACTTTTGAGGAGGGGGGAGGGGGAAGAACATCTAAATATTAAATTTCAAAGCAGAGCACAAACTGCGGCTACGGTTGGTGGCCATCACAATTCCATGGAGAATTCAACGTGACTATGCAGGTGCAACGGATCATTGTTAATGACAATCCGCTTAATCTGCCATTGACAATCAGCAGACCACATCGCAACCCCAAACACTAACAGACAGTGGAATGGATTCGTTAGTTTTTGGTCACACGACCATTATATGGCGTGGTGTGTGCCACATTTTAGACCTACCTTAAGATTTTGACCATCAAACGGTAAAGATCCACTGACTAATGTATACAGTATAACCCCTAAACTCCAGACATCTACCTCCGGACCGTCATATTTCTTGCCCTGAAATAGCTCCGGTGCAGCGTACGGCGGACTTCCACAAAAAGTGTCTAGCTTCATTCCTGGAGTGAATTCATTACTAAAACCGAAGTCTGCTATTTTAATATTTAAGTCTTTATCAAGAAGAAGATTCTCTGCCTGTTAAAAGTAAAAATGAACACTGATCAATTAAAAACACATTTATAACTATTACATTAAACTGGATGCAAGTTTAAAATGAAGTCTGGGAAAGATCTTTGCCCAGCAGGACACTGGCAATTTGTTATGATAATAATAATTAATGATGAATGAGCATAATAATAACAATGACATTGACAATTATCAAATTTAGTAAAGAAATACTGTATCATTCTGCATTGAATTATTACAGTTATCATCTAATTATTACCATCAACACATACATTACACAACATTGGCTCACACCTGTTAATTTGGATTCATCATATCTGCATAAATCTAATACACTTTGAGCTGTGTATTTAAGCAAGTTTCTTAAACATTGAAATTAAAAATTATGGCCAGATTATTGAAGGAACACAGTAAGTATTTGATGCTTTTACGAGTAATTCAATGCTTGAAAGGTTTTCTAATGCTTTTCAAGATTTCGCCATAGAATTATCATTCTGATACCAGCAAAATCATTAATATTTCCAACATATATTTAATGCTATTATTAATGATTGCACTACAAACGTGCATCGTATCCAATTCATCATCGCATTCAATAGCCACCATAATTGATTCAATTAAAATCACTGATGTATTTTCTTTACTTGTTTATGGTTATGAGTAATAGCACTTTCCTGCTTGGACAGGTCAACACTGATCAAACTAACGCTGTTACATAATAAAGCATTAAGGTAATTTCCTGCTACCATGTGATCGCATGCTACTGCATGGATGTCTCCCGTACCTATACTAAAATTAAACCCTACTAACAGTAGAGGCATCCATAGCAGAAGTACCGCTACATATTACCAACATCATCTTTCCAATCTACGCTAAAACTAAAATTCTTTTCGGACACCTTCCTCTCAAAGCTCATATAGAACTACAACCAGCATCACCTTTTTTGTAGTTGATGTTAAAATCCAATTCTACTACTAACATTACCAAGCTCCCGACAAGGCATTGATGTCCTGCTGGTCTCTAGCTAAAGATGTCACTCTCTTGTTTCGACAGCTAGCATCAAACTTAATAAGTTTACACCCACTCCTCCGATTATATCCACTGAATTAGGACAAATTCTTTTGGGATTATGAAGTGAGCAGGTTTGTTTCTTATTCATTAATTTGTGTGCAAACATAGAGCATCAGAATCAGAATTGTTGGAAGTACTCCACTTACTAAGATTAAATTTTTACTAGGAACTAGATCACTCATTAGAAGCAACACTACATAATTATACTGAAATTGTGTCAATTTACTGGGGCTCACAAATAACCAAAAACTTGCAAAGTGGTGTTTAACGTCTTTTATTAACGTCTTTATTTTGCGCCTATGTAACACAAATATAAGACAACACCACTCCGCCCCCCCCCCCTTCTGCGCTCAATTTTATGTACCAGCCCTTTCTCAGGCAAAAGCCCAGGGTATATTTACAAATATTGGCTTTTGAATTAGGAGTGTTATGATGGAAAATTTCTTTCTGACTGAAGGAGATTCCGCAGGTATAAGCCCCACCAAACCCTACCCCAAAAACAAACTGGCCCAATCTTGTGTTCAATAGGGGTGGGCTTATACCAGAGGAACTACGGCAGTAGTTTTTGCCAATCAGAGTAAAAATCAAGCAAAATTTAATGTGAATGTAGATGTTACGATCGAATAAAAATTAAATGAACAATCTCCATTTGATCGTAAATGCTAAGACCAAATATAAAGTAAATCAACACGTTAATGTGATTGTAAATGTTTGAAATCAAATAAAACAATTATCAAAATCAACGAATTAAATGCGATTTTGCAACCATATAACAATTTTAACATCAATGGAGTTTGTAATCGTAAATGTTTGCAATCACATAAAAATATAAAATCAACAATGCAATTGCTTGTTACTAGTCTGAATTTAAATTTAAAATAAACTTGACATACTTAATATGTTTGTAAAGCAAAGTTGTCCATAATTTGATGAATTTAAATTTTTATAACCAAAGACAAGTTATATATAAATTTATGCTAACCAAGTAAGTAAAACATTGGCCTCTCCCATAGGACAAGCATATATCCTCAGTTGAGAAAGATGAAATACAAATTTCTTGGGGTTCGAGTTCCTGATATTCTTTATCTAAAAATACAATTTTTACGATCCTAAGCCAAAAAATCTATTCTTGGTCCCACACAAAGGTCCTATTCCAGGATCTGATCAAAATCCTCGGGTAGATCCCATGTCAGATGCACTCAAACCCCCCCCCCCCCACTCCTCCATGTCATGGGAAATTCCTAAAGCCATCATTAAAGGACAGACTAGGACTGCTTACCACTCCATAACACTTCAACAATTAGTCGTGCAGCTACATCATTACTACTATTGATAAATGCATGCCTTGTTTAAGCTTTAAATTTCTCGGAAGATAGGAAGCATTTAAATCTAAGAGATGTTGATAACGTATACGCATAATGTTTGAATGAAAGGTATCACTACACTTAATATCTCATTCAATTGTTCATGTATAAACAGTAGCATGGCAACAAGAACCGGTTTGTTGATTAAAAAAAAAAATCTCCTAACGAACAGGTCCAAATTCCAATTCAACACAAGGCCGATTTATGGCCAGGGATTGTTAATAAGGATGTATCACCCAGGACACTAAAGCTCAAATGAAAAAAAAAAATAATCAAAGAAAAACAAAAGAAATAAATATATTGGTACAGATTTGAACAAAAATGCTATAGAAGAATTATTTCATGAAACTTTGACCATGGAAATTATTTTTATTAAACAACTCCAGAACCAAATGTGCACTAGTAAACCTTGGATTCCTTGGCTTGTAAGCACAAGGTATCGCAGACCTGCTAGATTGCTATCAACAGTATAATACTAAATACACTAAACTAGTTCCACTAAGACACAGGTGTAGGCTGGTGTACATTCTAATATCGATGACATTTGAAAATCAAAGCCCTGTCTGCATGTTAGACTTTCAAGTTCTCATGATACTGTTATCTCGTATGCACAACAATTAAAATCATTCAATCAATCCATTTATAAAAATAATAATAAATTGGAGATTTTGTACAGCACCTATTAGAAAAATACTATTTGTCACTGCATCTTCAAATGATGTATGATATGTATTTTTTTTTTTATATTAACGCATCTCCATTGAACACAAAATTGGGCTGACTGTTGGGGAATTCCCCTGTTCATGAAAAAACTTTTTCAACTTTAGGGATGGTCAATCAAAAGAGAAATTCCCAACACTGCATGCCTAATTTAAAGCTAATCATATTATTGCTGAAAGTACTTGCAAACTGAGCTTAGCTTCAGTACACGCCTTCAAATTATACCTACGCTTCTATCCGGGGGAAAACCAGGTATGTGAAATCAAGGTATGTGAAATCAAACATAAAGTAAGGGGGTGGGGTTATAACCAAGATGGGCTAATATCCAAGTAACTATAGACTTTTAAAATACTGTTATATAGCATGTAAACATGTTTTTTTAAGTAACTGATAATATTTAATGATTGGCTCACCTTTAAATCTCGATGTACCACGTGTTTTTGATGACAGTACTGTACAGCTGACACAATCTAGGGGAAAAAATAGTAAAATAGTTTCTTGAATAGCAGGTGGAATACGAAACATGATTTCATTGTCCTTTATAAAACCTATAAAATGAACAAAGAAATTCCTTTCTTTGCAGTGTTTCACAAAGTGGCAAAAACATTTGATAGGCTACGAGACAACCTGCTATTTTTACCATCTGCTACAAACTTACCACAATGTGTATGCTGAATGAAATGAAAGCACAAGGGGAATCCTCCACATTGATGAGCAATATAAAATGGATCATGAGACTTGAAAACACAACACAATTTCAGTTAAAGTAAAAATAACAATACCCAATAAATATTATTCATCCCTATTCAATTACAAAATTTAATGTTAAAAGTTAATAAAAATACACAACGTAACAAAATTTGTTATTTGTAACTCACTACAGTCATCTATTAAGATGGTATACGAATAAGGAAAATATAACAGCCTACTATATGAAAAAAATCAGAAACTATACCATCATCATTAAATCTCCTTTTAGGATAAAAACAGCATCGAAAATCAAATATTAAACGTTTGCATTTGACAGAAAATACATAAGATAGAACAGGCTAAAGTTTATACATGAAATAGACCGCTATATAAATAACAGCTCTGCAATAGTCATAGTTGTAACATCGCTAACAAAAAAGAAATTTTCATAAATTAACATTTCCATTAGCCAATCATCTCATTTAATGCATATATGTATGCTAAATATAAATGACCATCCTTCTTATTATGTTTGTTATTTAAAGGGGTAAAATCATGCACTGTGTATGATAATTATAACAATCATATCTATATTATGTAATTATTTTATAGACCAACTACGTATGTTAATTATATACCGGACTTCCAGTAATAACATTTATAAAGCATTTCATAATTTATGCGACAGACCAAAATTTATGGCCGTAGAACCAAAAATAAATATCTGGCAATCACCCTACTTAGCAGAGGAAGGCATAAATTTAACAAACCTATAAGCAAGAGGATTTAAAGTAAATGTGTTGATACTATAATATTCAATGATCGTAATAACTAAAATGTGAGAGCATACCTTCAGCGAATATAACGCTAAGTAATTTATTCAAAACTAAAAGCAAGCTTGATTTACAAAATCAGGAAACTATGTTATACTTGATTGAAGTAGTGTAATTGTTACTCATGTGAGTAAAACCCAAGGTTTCATGTCAATCATTCATTAACATTTATTTTACAATTCCATCTATTGAATAAATACTATGAATTTTATTAAATATTAGTTTACTAATTAAATAAATCATTCTTGTTTACTTTTAATTAAACCAAGCAAAAATATTAACAAACTGAAATTAACTGGGTAGATTGTTATTAAAATTAGTAACAGGCCTGGTATTAATTAGCTACAAATATACAATTAACCATACAATATAGTATATGAACAAACGGTAAGCAAATTATTATTTATCCATAATTTCTTTAAATTCTAAATTATCAGACATTTGGATTTGCTTAACTAATAAACTGGAGTACTGAAACAATAGAAATTCTACTAATAAACCACAAAGAACTACTCGCATAAATTATGAATTCTGGCAAGATTCACATGGCGTTTAACAATCATGAATGCACAAATGTTGATGTTGCTGTCTTTGATGGCCTTACTTCTATTAATGCTTGCGCACTTTGCTGTTCATTACATTTACTATATAACATGTCGCAATGGCCTTAGAGCTATGGCTTGCAATGAGGTAATAAAACTTGAAAAATAAAATGTAATATTTGATTTGTATATTTTGTATGTAGATGAAATAGTGGAAAATATATTCCACACACAATTGGCAGAAACATTATAAATAATGCTGTTCTACTGATATGTTTATGTATTAAAATTCTCATCCAATAGCGTGGAAACCGCCATTTACAGAATGGAACTTCCAACTTAAGTGCAGTAAAATTATAATCAAAGTATAAAATACAATTTCAGATCGATTGCACTTGACAAAGTACACTTAAATTGGCCAGTTTTCTATTTAATTTTGTAATACATTTTTATAAATTCACAAAAAATAAATCTGTGTTTCCTTTAGATGATGATAATTTTAAATGAGCAATTCTGTCCTTTAATTTATGTTTCCCCTTTTTTTCCCCACAGAACAATTTAATCAAAATTACCGTATATACTCGCATCAAGACCATAAAGAACAGCAAAAAGTAGAAATTCTGACGACGAAACAAAAATCTTTTCAAACTATCGGGGCCATCTTATACACGAATCGCCTTATACGCGAGTATATACGACAAAAATACTTGGTCAGAACTAGACAATAAATTATGCTACTCTTCTAAGCTTAATTATGTACCTAAATGTATTTTCTATTACATTATTTATAATAAAACCAAAGAGTTGAAAATTACAACATTATCCAAATCTGTAATTTTATAGAAATAATAATCCATATTAATAATCTTACTTTTACAATAACTTTTCTTAAATTAAGTTTTTTGCAAACCACTTTACATTGTTTTATTAATCTTAAATTATCTTTTACAGTAATATTTCATATTTTAATTCTATTTTTCCATTGTTTATTTATTACTTGATCCATATTTTTTTTTAAATTTTAATAACTAATTTTTAGATATCTAATCAAATTATTTAACACTTAACCACACTAAATATTAATTTAAAAATAACCTACCAATTCAACAATTTTCAGTGTTAGGAGAGCAAAGAAATGATATAATTTTAAAATAAATAGAGCATTCTTGTACTTTGATTCACTGCAATGTTGAGGTCAAAGGTCAAGCCTTATAACCAAACATTCTAGCCAATTCGCAGTGCATACTTTCATGAACATAATGACATACACATTCATTCCAAGCTCAACCAATAGGCTAAGCAGATTATTTGTTTATAAATGCGACATTTGACATTACGAGTAGAACTAGACAAGATGGCTAATTTGTTCATTGCCAAGGTAATAACTACTCTGACCCTTGTATCATTAATACAAACTATTTCAAACTTGAGCTGTAAGTGTAAAATTACGAAATTTTATATTTAACTACATTAAGCGCACCTCAATTAACATACACATTAACAAATTATATAAATGAAATATTTTTTCCACTAAAGCTATATTTCTTAGCTCACACTATGATGGTACAAGATCTAAAACTAAAAAATATAGCTCTACTATATTACCAGTGTATTTAATGAATAGAACAAATCAACTTTCACAGAAAAAATTACCATGTTTAGGTTGTTGTATGACCAAATTTTTGAATTCCCCCAATTGTCAAACAGCAGATAGAACAGGAAGTGGTGTGTTTGCGTAAGTTTACACAATAATACTTCAAAGAAATTAATTTTTTGTGAATTTTTCCAGTTTTAATATTCAACTAACTTCAAGTATTTATAGTATTTAGTTTAATGTAAATGAATGACATGGATGAGAACTTGATATTCAACTTGATAGCAAACCTGAAATTCTATTTGCTTAATTAAAACATGTTATGTTGATGGTCAGTTCTACATGGCTTGCTAACTATCTTCTGGACTTTTACTTTCAAACTTTTGTCTTAGTTAATAGTCATCTAGGTAACCCCATGAAGAATACAATATGAAGAGGTGTACAATTGTCGCTTTCAAATGATCTGGCCAGAATTCCAACAACCTGCAGGCCGCATCACATTCTTAAGCACTCGCACAAAACACAAGACTTGTCAACCGATGGTCGGCCAATGTATGAGTATGAATGCGAGTCGAAAGATGAAGTTGCCTAGAATGAACCTTTCCGTAGTGTCCATCAAACTTCACTGACAAATCAGAGCACGGCCTACAGCAAGCAGATGGTCATGCTGTCATTTCATGAAAGCTTTGCAACAATATCCAAGGGGCGGGGCTTAGTGGAAAGGCTCAATTTTTTTAAACCAAAGATCTTATAAACGCAAGATGGCGTTCTAAGCGATTTACGCGTAACAAATAGAAGTGTCGATTTGGCACATAAAGGGGGAGGGTGTAATAGTCATTACCATGGATCTGAGATAGGGTGTTCGTGTTCAGCTAAAGTTCGTTACCAGACACGTTACTGTTCTAAAGAGAGAGTGCATTGTAAATCGAACGCTTCTAATTGTTACGCATAAACGTAAAGTCGCGCGTCGTACACTAGGCCAAAGCAGTCAAAGTTCAAAAGTTTTTATTTTTGCAAGAGGGCACCATACACTTCGTTATTACAGAATTTGCACACGGAAATCGCAAAACGGTATCTTGGGTTTATAAGATCTTTGGTTTAAACCTAGTTTGAAATAGAACTTGAAGGTGACATAGGAGAATAACCCATAACTTGTAGCGCCATAGTGATGAATTGCGTCCATGACTACTTAGCAGCCGTAAAGAGGCGCTTCGTGGTAGCTACATGTTCACATCATTCCACAACTACAGCGGCTGAAATGAATCCCCCTACTCTTTCGAAACATGTAATGGGTTCTTTAAAGTGCACACGAGCCAGATGCACACATTGGACCTCCATTTTTTAAGTCCATATCCGAGAAGACTTGGTTCTACCAAACAAACCATGGGCGAAGAGTGGCTGAAACCAGCGCCGATATTAATGCAGTAGCTAGCGGCCCTGCCTTACCGCTCAGCAACTTGACTCGCCAAAGTTTGATTTAAGAATACCATTGAAGTCAGAGCATATTAATCCCGGATTCTCTAGAAAATTATTTTGATGGACAAGGATGCTCATAGCAATACTCATTAACTAGGTGTGAACAGATAATTTTGAGTGTACATAGACAAGGATGTTTATACTGCATAATTCATGATTTGAGTTTATATACTTAGACCAATCTAGATAAGTATTGTTTTCTCTATGTACTTTCTGCATATACAACCAAAGATAATATCATCATGCCAATTTACATCACTCAAATTTACTGTATTTATATGTCATTTTAAAGAAATGCACTGCCATCAACTCAAAACATTTACTGATTGTAGGCT